ACAAAGTACCTGTAATGTTATTTAATGTTAATAAATGGAACAATATAAGTAGCTAACCATTAATGGTAAAAAAAAAAGTGAGACTGAGCGTATGTAAGTGCACATATGTGAAAACATATTGTCATTACTCTACATAAGAATATGAAAGCAACACTTATTTACTGCTCATATATATATTGAAGGGTTAAATGTCATATATATGAGAGAGAGAGAGAGCCTTAATTTCCCTGGCTTTTTTTTTAAGGGTATTAACCCACCCGGGCATAGGTCACTGACCCACATTGGGGCCTGAGGGTAAAATTTAAAACTTCTGTAATAATAATAATAATTCAGATAAAAAAAAAAAAAAAAAAAGAGCTGCCTATCTACCTTTTGGACAAACTAAACTCGTTCCGGACCACGGGAGTTTCCGGACCACAGAATGCCGGACTAGATAGGTACAACCTGTATCAGAGAGAAAACAAGTCTCGGTCACAAGGTTATTGGAGTTTAATGTTGAACTTGTACTGTTACTACTGTGTAAATAAAACAAGAAACTTAAGGTTCTTGTTTTATTTACAAGTGTAAAGTTCATTGTATGTTACAGTACTGTACAATGTTTTACCCAAAACATAGTAGTAACAGTGCAGGCTCAATGAGAAAACTCCTGTTGGCTTATTGTGAAATATATTAGAAACAAGTAAACACAATATTCAAACAATTATATTATCATGCAAATAAATCACTGTAGGTAAACGTGATATTTTTACAGCACACACAATTAAATTTTGTTTTTCAGTCCTTTGGTTTACAGTAATGTTTTGTTTGATCAACTATTAGTACAAACACTGAGTACATTTTGACAATGGCATTCTCTCACTCACTAACACAAAGTTTTAAATGTGTTCACTTTTTATTGAAAATAATTATTTTATTTAGAGAAAAATAAAACACATAGTTTGCCTTATATGGGTTGACAAAACTCTTTTCACCTTCAGGATCATAATATTGTATGTCTGCCAGTACTGTAGGAGCTTCAGTCCAAATACCTGTACATAAGCTACCACTAAATTAAAAGGTCTTCAATTTGAACTTGAGATTTTTTTTATGATAAATATTTAGTTTTATGGGATAATTATGGTTAGAATGTCATGAAGTATTGGTAGACTTGGGTCTGTGGCCAACTGGACAAGTACATGGAGGTTGACCATGTTGTTACTTGGTAAGTTTTCTTATACAATGTTAATTATTACAATACAATCAGTATACAAGATGGGAAATACATCAGATACTAACATTTCACACACAAATATATTTACTATATGACATCTAGACAAATTATAAACAACTATGATGTCACAATAATATAAATCATGACTACCTTAAAGGTTGACAAAGAGTAATACAAGATAACTAAGGGTAATTACTCCCCATAAAGCCAGAGAACTAACTAACTGTGAGCCAGCAGGAGGTCAACCAAGAGTAGGCCATAGTAGAACAAGTCCCACTGACAGCTGAACACCTACTGCTGCTCCTTTAAACCATCAAGGCTCTTATATATGAACACACAGACTCACTGGAGAGGCTAAACTTCAGGTGCTGAGCAAGTGTTTAGCTACTGTGAGTCACAGTTTCCAAATGACAAGAGGACATGAATAAGCCTATATCACCTGACTTGACCAAGAAAATAGAACTTGTGACCATTACATGATAGCAAGGTTATTATGGAAGTTCAGCTAGACTGGTATGATCCAACAACTAACACAAGTTTATTTTTCTAGCATATTGTTTATGTCACAGTAAAGTACTTGAGCAAAGACTGAAGAAATTTACTTCTTTAGCACAGACAATAAAAATGTGTTTATTGTGTATTAAAGTGGCATTTGTCACTTCTGTGTATTCTGCAGTATTCATAGCTTACTGACATGGTTCTATAGTGATGTCAACTTTATTCAAACATTTATGAAATTCTGCTTTTTTCATGTGCACGTATATGACATCTGAGATTATCTTTCCTGGAAAAACATTTCCCACATACATCACATTTAAGCCTTTTAATACCATTATGAACAAGCAAATGTCTGTTGAGATCACCCTTTAAAGAAAACTTCTTCCCACATTCATCACATTCAAATTCTTTAATGCCATTGTGCACAAGTATATGTGTCTTCAGATCACTTTTTTGTGAAAACCTTTTCCCACATTCTTCACATATAAACTTCTTAATGCCTTTGTGCACAAGCGAATGTCTCTTGAGATGACTCTTTTGTGAAAACGTTTTCTCACATTCAGCACATTCAAATTCTTTAAAGCCATTGTGCACAAGTATATGTTTCTTGAGAGTACCTTTTTGTGAAAACTGTTTCCCACATTCATCACATTCAAAGTTTTTGATATTACTGTGAGTAAGTAAATGTGACCTCAGAGAAGACCTCCAGCTAAACACTTTGTCACATTCCATACAGGAGAACTTTTTTTCTCTATTTGACATTTTGAACTTCTACTTAATGTTAAACTTGGTCTTGAGATGTGACATCAGTGTCTGAAACAAAATATATTGCCTAAGATAATATCCTTATTACAAGTACAATTAATCAATGTAAACAACAAGTGATCCCTGTATTTGCAGTTCTAAAAATAAGTACAGCATGCCCAGATAATTCACGCTAATGTGAAGGATACAGCTATGGCGAAGATGGAGAAAGCCCTTAACATCTGGATTGAGAACTTTGACCACCGCCACAGCCAGAAGTTTATCCATGGCAAAGTCAGGGTCCTCTATGACTGATTCCATGCTGAGGAGGGTGGTAAAGGTGAAATGAATGGTGAAGGTGGTGCTAGTGCTGGTGATACCACAAAGAAGGGATTTAATGCCAGTAAGCGGTGGTTTGAGAATTTCAAAAAGCACTACAACCTGCACAACTTGAATATCACTGGTAAGTCAGCCTCAGTGGATGATGTAGCAGCGAGGGAGTATCTTGCGATCTTTGCCGAGATTATCCAGGAGAAGGACTACAAGCTAGAGCAGGTTTTTAATGCTGATGAAACTGGCTTGTGGTGGAAGAAGATGCCAGCTAGGTCGTTCATTTCCAAGGAGGAAAGGAGAGCACCGGGCTTCAAGGAGGCCAAAGATCGTGTCTCTCTCCTGCTATGTGGCATCGCTGCAGGACACACGATCAAGCCCATGTTGCTGTACCGGGCTAAGCGTCAGCGTGCACTCAAGAACAAAGACATGCACCTCCTCCAAATTTTCTACCACCACAACAAGAAAACCTGGATGACGGAAGTGTGGTTCACCGACTGGTTTCACAAATGTTTTGTAAGGGAGGTCAAGGAATACCAGCAGGAGAAAGGCGTTTGGTACTTGAGAGAAACACAAAATACTAAAAAGACTGACAGTCTACCCAAATGCACCTCAGTCCATCACCTAGAATAAACAGAACATTGTTTTGTTTTTTAGTGTTATGCTAAAACAAACTCATAAATCAACACAGCTAAAATTATGGGATGGGAAATGGTCTGTAGTGTCACTTAATCACACAGGGATGCTATGTAAACAGTGCAAACCAGTGTCAATGAGGGTCACTCAGCCTCCTGGCCCGCGACCACTCGACCAGCCTATACAAAGATGGCCGACGAGGGGGTGAATTGGCTTCACCTGACAGTACTGGGAGCGTGCGGCATGCCACCTTCACCCTTTAGACCTCCACGTCTTTACTTATCACAATCTCTCTAAAAATACTTTAGATTTCGTGTTTATTCAGGACATCTTCAGGTCATGAGACCCACTAATCCTCCACCCAAGAAAAGGTGACCTGACATTCCATCAGGTGAGTAATATGAGACCACTAATCCTTCATCCTACCTCCACCTGACACTGCATCAGGTCAGGTCAGTTACAAGAGACCCACTAATCCCCCACAGCTCCATGTGAGTGGAAAATACCAGTCTTTGCTGTAACACAGCATCAATCATGCCCATATCCTATAGATTTTAAATTTTTATATACCAGCTAGACCCCGACTTACGACGGGGTTAGGGACCCAAATCCAGGTCGTAGGTCCGACATAGATAAAAAAAAATAAATAAAATAATAATAAAAAAAAAATAATAAAAAATCTACAATGAAATACAGTACAGTAAAAGTAATAAATAATGAGGAATGGATACAGTGTGACTGAGCACTTACCTTTAATGTAGTCAGCTGAATGCACATGGGGCCCCCATAATTTTCTAATTATACATGGAGACTACATTAACTGGAAATGTTTCGGTGTAGAAAATGTGTCATTTGAAATTTTTTTTTTTAATCTATGTCGTAAGGCCCGACGGTCGTAAGTCGAAGCAGTCGTAAGTCGAAGCAGTCGTAAGTCGGGGTCTAGCTGTATATTTATTTAACCAAACTTTTAGATACAGTAAACTATTGAGAAATGAAGTTTCTAACTTAATTAGAACTGTATTTATGGATTCCAGTAGTTTAGGCTCAAGGAAAACATCCCCAGCACCCACAAACATTCTGGGGAGTGGGCTAGTGTGCGACTTTGCAAGAGGTCTAATTTAGAAATTCGATAACTTTTCCCAGTAACCGGAAAAGGTTCCAGGGATAAGGAATTTTTCCGGGTTTAAGAAAGTCGTCTCGTTTCCCGGAAATCTCTCATCCCCGGTAGAGCTCTGCACCAATTGCTCCGGCTAACGGGGATATCGCCGAATATACTTTATCAATAAATATGAGGAATAAATACAACTAATAAGAATAAATGCAGGAAAAGACAAAAACAGTGCATTGCCATTTGGGAATCTTGTCAATATGAATGGGATAAGGAGACAAGGAGTCGAGATCACCCATGGTACAAATGTAACAAGTGTTTATTACCTTTATATTTTTGATCTTATGACAGTTTCATTTTCTTTGCACAAACAATAAACCCCCAATATAACGGACTAACTGGGGGCAAGGCCGGTACATTAAAGCCAAAATTCTATTATATCCAGAATAATATTGGACTCAGTCCATTATATACAGGCATCACCAGCGTTACGAAAATTCGTGTTAGGGAAATTCACTTACGGAATTTTTAAATTACTGTACAGGTTGACTATAAAAAATCCGGCAACCTCGGGACCTGAGGAGTGCCGGATTTTCGAAAATGCCGGAAAACTGATGGTTATATTTGCTGTATAAGTTTAACAGAAAATGACTACCTGTACAGTCCTTTAAACAAAGAAAATTAAACACTTAAGTTAGGATAATATAATTGACATTGCTGGATTCCTTATAAGACCAGGAATATTTTGAATATAAATGTCATATATTTTGCACAAAAGATAACATATTTACTCAGAGTAAACATTATATCTAAAATTTGTATGTCTAATGCAAAATCTATGATGTTTATATTCAAAATGATCATCAAATTGTAAGAATTCCAGCAATGTAAATTATATTCTGGCCAGGTAATTTGTATGAATTTTATGAGCTAAAACATATATCTTCATTAAATAAACAAAGAAATATTTGAAAATGCGCTCCGAAATCCATGCCGGAAAACTGAAGGTTCCGGTTTATCGATCGCCGGATTTTTGATGGTCAACCTGTATGACCAAAAACTCGAGATATAGAAAATAACTGTTCATATGGAATCTTGGTATTTTTTTAAAAATTTAATTCAAGATTTTTAACCCAAATTTGTAACAAATTTGTAAAAAAGTGTTTTGTGTGGAGTCTTTGTGGTACCCACTAGGCAGTTGGAAGCCTACTCACCTCCCTAGTTGCTAGCAGCCACCACAACAATGGTGCAGCTCAGTTAAAATTCTTTCCCCAGTTTGTGCTCAGTTATGCTTATGTGTTGCTGTGTACTAGGGTGTGTCATAGGAGGGAAGATCAGCTAAAACTAATGGCCCATCACTTTTTTGGTAGATTTTAGTGTATATAAACAGAAAATAATTTCAGTTTCAATATTTTGCAACCTTTTGCTAGGTAAATTTTAGCGTGAAATTTATCGAAAATCTAACGTACAGCTGCATTAGTGTATTACAATTAAATAGTGAACATTGCTTTCTGACTTCATTCTTTAACAACCCAACTAACAATATTTTTTTCTGTTTCAGATTCTGATGCATTTATAAGTTGATAATATTTGCGATGGCTGCTTGTGCCAGACGAGGAACCAAAAATCCAGCCATCTCAGTCACTATCTTGGGTCTGGGAGAGAGCTCCTAGTCGGAGTTGCCTACATTGAGAGATGCTTTGAGATACGGTGTTTTAATCAGGCAAACTCAGTGAAAAGAACCAAAGAACTTACACAAACAAAGACATTGCCAGTGATATGACCAAAGCTGTCTTGGCACAGTACACTCTGGCTAACGCTCAGTTCAAGCCTCCAGTCATAACAAGTCAGAAGAAGATTAGTGAGAGACTGCTAGCCAGTTGGGAAAAGGCAAGAGATATCTCTCTTGGGAGAGGAAAACTTGCAGTTAAGGACAGCTTTGCCAAGCAACTGGACCAGTTATTTGACATAATTACTTGTTCTCTGTCCTGAGTTTGGATGCGATCGTGACTGTAAATCCGAGGCCCACATCTTCTGTATTTGCAAGCGTGAACTGAAGATTCCTGTGACCGAACTGGCATTTGTCAAAGCACAGAGAGCGAAGACTGGCAGTATAGGGGCTCTCATGATTTCTAGCCAAGATATTCCAGAGTCCAAGAGACAGGAGGCTGCCACAGAGAGACAGAAGAGGAGAAGAGTTAAGCCGAGGAAAAGAGACTTGGAGAAGGCCCAGGGTAGTAAAAAGGCCGGCGATTGGAGTCAAGCTGATTCAGAGTTTAATGACTTCTCATGGCTGATCCGAAAAGGACTAGGAGAATGGTGACTTTGTCCCTAACCTCCAGAAAATAATAATCTCAAACCTTCCAGGCATAAGATTCGAAATAGGAAAGATATCCCAGCATAGCTCTGGCCAGCATGCACACCACACTGCCTCAGAGAAACCGCAGAGATAGCAACAGCTGCCTGGATTTGACGGTGGTTTGATAACACTCGATGATGTCTACCTGGTGATAGATCATAACAAAGTAAGGAGGAGCTCAGGAGAAACTTGTCAGTAACCTAGGAAGAGGAGCTTGATAAGGGATAAGAGAAAATGGAATCAATTGTTTGTTCTTTGATGGGAGAAGGGATGACACTAAAGTGTTCATGAAAGTTGGAGATTCTGACAAGTTGTTCCCTGCCATGGTGAAGGAGGAACACTACTCCTGCTGCAGTGAACCAGGAGGGAAGTATTTGTGGCATTTCACTCCAGAGAAAGATGACATCAGGAAACCAGCTGAGATAGTAGCAGATAACATTGTGAACTGGCTCAGAGAGAGGAACGTAGACCAGACCCTGCTGGCCATTGGAGGGGACAGCACCAACACGAACACAGGGTGGCAAGGGGGGGGTCATACAGTGGATAGAGCGGAAGATTGGGAGGAAGCTGGTCTGGATTGTTTGT